GGCTGAAAAACAGGTATATAAAGGGGAATACCAAGTGGAGACCTCTGCATCTACAACTTCTCAAATGAAGTCATGAAGCCTCTTAACACTGCTAAGTACCCTTTGCCAGATGGTGGAGAAAGTCTGAAGTGACTTCTGAGAACCCCAATCATGACTATAAGTGACTGCTAGCTACATAACATACTAAGGACAGACTTGGTAACGATGCATTTTGCAAGGGTAAATCACAAAGAAATAGAAGACATGCATAAGCTCTGTCAGTTCATGAACCAGACTGCTTCAGTAAGCTTTCCTGCATATTGTTCACACAATAATGTAATTGTTTTATTTGTTGTTGTTATACTTTTTAATTGGTCGAAGAGAGACTCCTCCATATGAAATGTAGGTATGAGCAAATGGGGTATTTATTTCTTTGCCACACTAAGAAGCTTTAAAACACGAAATAACCCCACAGGCCTGACTCTGGAAGCATATATGCACATCATCACTGCTACAAGAAGTACTTTTTAATGTAAAAAGCAAGAGTGTCAATAAACATTTGAAAGTAACTGGAGGTGTATCTTGCAGGTCAGATAATTTATGCTTTCAGAGGCTACAGTCCAAACCTTCCTGGCCATTCCAAAATGCTGCAGAAAGTATTTACGAAGCTATGGTGAAAAGCTCTACAGAACCGCCTCAGAAGGAAAGCTTTGAGACAGCTTTTGCATGTGAGATAGTGACATCCAGTGGTGAGTTTGGTTACCTGTCATGATCTCTGCCCCTGATGCACAAAAAAAGTTACTTGTATTTTGCTGAAACATATTAAAATATTTTAAACATACTTAAAAATATTAAAATAGACAAATATACCCAATATGTGGGTTCCCTTAACAGAGAAACATATTTTGATATATTAATTATGAAGACGGTGTGTTCATCTACAGAGAAAAATTACATTTCAGGTCTAATTTTTAATCAAGCTTACAATAAAAGCAAGCAAAAAATGTTTAGCTGTATTTAAAGAAATAGAACATTCCCTACATTACAGCCCTATTCTTTTCTATCTTGTTCACACAAAGAATCACTACTCCTCTTTTTCCTGACATTTCCAGTTCCTATAAAAAACAGAGTTCAAGATTAGAGCTTATGATTCTTGAAATCCGCAAAGCAATTCCCCTACACTCTTCCTGCATTAAGGATTCACGGCCACAGCACATCACCATCTAACATGGCCTTTCTGGAGTAGATCCCTTCTTTTAAGATCCAGTAGTAAGACTGTCCTTCAAAGTTCTTTATTTAGAATACACACAAGGATGCAGGAGACCTCAATTTACTGTCCTTCCGTGTCTTTGGGAGATAGGTGTTTTTTATGGGAAATGGGGGTGTCCAGAACATATTTCTACTAAGCTAGCAAATACTGCTGAGGAATAGACGTTCAAATTCCCTTATTGGATCTGTTCCATTTTGTCTAGAATAATGAGATTCATTGAACAAAAAAGAAGTGAAAATACACTAAAAGCTAAGGATATGACATTTCAATGGATGTGGAAAAAGAATTCGAAGTTCTTTCTTGGAACCTCATCTCATCTTAGTTATTACTTTTCCATAGGGAACAAGGCCAACTTCAAACTCCAGGAAGTCTGCCAACTAAATTCCGCTAATCTATCTTTTCACAGATTTAGATGAAACAAAACTACTTTCTACTATGGTAAAGTTGCCAGGTTAATATTACTTTCTCCCTTTTAATGTTTTTCCACACTGGCTGACACCATGTGCTGTTGTGGAAAGACACGTTAAGGAAGGCTGAAGATGAGTCACTGCCTACAAGACACACAGAACCAGGAACAAATCAACTGTCTCCTCCTCTCCACAGGATCCAACTGAGCAACTACCCGCTTTTCTGCACGTTCCAAACTGAAATAAACAGGCTCTTTCAAAAGCAGCCTAAATTCAGGTCTAAATTAAAGGCAAAGGTATTGCACCAGCCCTAAACATTTGGCTCTTATTCACTTAGACATACAAAATTCTAAACAGGCAAAACAGTCTCTAAATTCATGATGTAATTATTTTGGTTTGTCAGTAACTAGGCCCTTACATTATGTTACTGCACTATCACTTCATAAATCCAGACACATAATGATGAAAAGCCATGCTATACTTAATACTGAAGGTTTCTCTTATGGTTAAAGAAAGACACCTACTTTTTTTTTTTTTTTTTTTTTTAACTTAGCGTTTCTTAGGCAGGGTTAGCTAGAGGACAACTCAGATGAAAGTTTGAGTCTTTCTGAAATGTAGAAAATGGGAATGTTTTTCTGACAAACATATATATGGACACCACATTTCTGTGTTTGAAAATTTATCTTATGTAAATTACATTTACTTATAGTTTCAGTAGTCAGGGAAGGTTTAAAACCACCAAGCTTGCAGTTTGAAGTATACATTTTGAGATGTCCATCCTTTTAAAAAAAAAAAAGCTGATATAATTTTGGCATTTAGAGCTGTTTATACGTTCACTCAGCAATACCTTAGAAGACAAGAAAAACCCATCACGTTGATACTTGGTTTAGAAAGTATTATCTGCCTCCTAGCTGATACATCCTGTCAGTGGTATCAGAAATCAACAGACAATATACAGCTAAAATGGATTTTTACTTGCTAATTAAAAATAAAGTGCCTCCCACTCACAGTCTAGGGTTCTTCATTCTTCAACTTTGTTAAAGGGCTGTAATGCCCTGGGATCTTATATTAAAGGGCAAAATTACTCTGGTAATGCAACACAAAATGAAATACTGCCAGAAAGGTCAACTACACTGAGAGGAAGAAGAAAAAATTTAAGCAAGCACAAGATTTTTTTAATTTCATTTGGGATCCCCAAAGGTAGAGAGAATTTCTCATAAATCTTGTGCCAAGCAAGAATAACACAAAGCTGGAAAATACAGAAAAAGTAATTTCTGTTATCTTGTCTATGTTATGCTAGAAAGGACCATTTTAATTGCTGCATCTCACCGGTTTCACATACTTACAGAAGAGGGAATTTTCATTTCTTCCAACCTCAGACAAAAGAAAGACAAAATACTGAACAGTTTGGGGAAAGTTTGCCTTGGATGTACTAAATAAGGCACATTGTTTTCCATTGCAAGAGACTTGGTGCTTAGCTGCGCTGAGCCACCTCATTTACTGTGAATCAGATTCAAACATGCTGTGAAGCCAAAGGCTATTGATAGTAGGTGGCACCTCAGTATGATGAGGTACTACAGCTTTATGTGTGTGAAACAAACAGTTGTGCATTGATATTGTTGCTGAACACTTCACAAGAGGAAAGTCAGAAGCACATTTGTGTGGTCATGCTTAGTGCCATGTATGAAAAATAGTGTGTCTCTCCCCATCAAATCTTAAAAGCGAAATGGAACTTCTCTAAACCAGCCTGGGAGGACTACAGCTGTATCCATAAAAGAGGCCTGTTCCTTGGTCCATCTTGCAGCCATCTGGATAGATTCTATTCACTCCTTCAAAACAGAGACGGTTCCCAAAAGGCACAAGACATCTACCAGACCACTGGAGATGTTTTCATGGACAAGTGACAGTTGACACTGCCCCCCATTGCACTGAGAGTCTGAACAGAATGGATGATTATGGGAGAATATAGCGAGCCTGCATTTATTTAGTTTGCTAATATAAAGTAGCCCAGCTGTCTGTAATTCTTGACAGAGCAAGGAACAAGGAGAGCCATGCTAAGTTAATCCATGGGAAAGGTAAATAAATGGATCCCAGACTAACTCTGCACTGCCCTTCCACAATGCTGGGAAGCCCTCCAGAAAGAGTTTCACTCTCTCCCTAAAGAGGGGACTTGCAAACTGTGTATGCATATGCATCTGCTTATCTCCCTCGGGTCTGTATTTCCACTGTTGTGAAGACTATTCAAGCATTTAAAATTAATTTCACAAATACTTACTTAGCTGAAAAACTTACTAGTGTTCTGCATTTTTGTACCAAATTCTTCTTCAGATTAATCTAAGTTCAATTTTGTAGAACATCCTATGTTTCAAATGACATCTATTTTAAACAGATGTTTAGGTCTCCACACAAAGTGGAGACCTGCTTCCAGATATAACTTTCACTAAGTATCTACGGACAGTCTTCCATTGTGTCCATTCCTGCCCCCTCAAATTTCCTTAATCCAATAAAAACAGGTAACTGAGCAAAACTGAAGTCATCTTCATTTTTACTAGTGTTAATTTTTCATTTTCAGTTACTTAGTAAAAAAAAAAAAGAGTACAGCAGAGAAAAAATAGCATTACATAGAACATTATAAAGTTTCTCTTCTTCCTTTCTGTTGTACAAGTAAGCAAAAACTATCAAAATTTCATCCAGTTTTAAGAAAAGATATTTATCTAGCAGCATTAAAATCATGAAATGTAAATTGAAAAAAATGCAGAGATTGTTTTGAATTACTTACACAAATTAAGCACAAGATTTTACCAAACTGGGAATTTTTGAGAAAAAAGAAAGAAAAAAATCTGATTAAAAATTAATACATATTAACACCATTTAAGATACAGTGGATAATTTTATTTATAAAATCCTATTGGCGCACAATACACATAGGAAGTATGAAACTTGATTTATAAAGAAGTGAAATGCTTCATAGAAGCATGGATTCCTGAGGTGTTCTGAACACAATCCCTCATTTACTGGAATTCACGACATTGCTTCAATTGGCTTAAGCAGGAGAAGACTGGATACTTGATAAACACACAGTTAAGACATATTTAAACACACAGTTAAGACATATTTAAAAAACAGGCAAATGGAAAGAGACTGGAAGATTGTGTCTCACCAATACTAATAGTGTTGGTCATGGTGGAAAACTGTCTTACATTGAAGGGCACAAAGACCTGTTAAGGCTGGGTTTCTCAATTTCACAGCCAATTCAAATGTATTGTAGAAACCTGCTTTCTCCTCATTGTCCATGCTCACAGGTTCAAAGTCATCTTGACATCAGACATGAAAACACTGCTGTTTCAGGATAAACATACAGAAGGCCTGATTACCTGGACAAGTATTATTAGAATTTAAAAAATAGTGTTAGGTGCTTTCACTTCTTTTTCTCTTTTTCTGCTTTCATTCTCTGCTGTAGTGTCTTCAGTTCGGTCATTACATTCAAAGTTCTGTAAACCCAAGTGACCTGAAAAGTAAGTACATTTTAAAATATAACTAATGTCCATACATTTACTTATCAATTTAATGAAAGCATCCATATAAATGAACACATACATACCACAATTATAATAGTATTCACCAGTAGTGGTGCTGAAAATACAAGTGAAATAAACATTCCTCTTGAATCGAAGTATTGGTATTTAGAAAACAGCCTGAAAGAAATAAAATAAAAAAAGAGGAAGCTTTATTCAGTTTAGATAACATTAGACTTTCATGCTAACATGGACACTGTACAGATTATCCTACTTCCTGGGATCCCCAAGCACAGACCAACATTCTACTGTGTTAAGTCAGAACAAAGAGACAGTCAATACAATATTTATTACAATACCAGTCTTTATTTTCTTCAAAGTTTTACTGCACAAAACCTAAATAAAACAACCATAGATTAACTTACCAACGTGACTACAATAGTACATATATTTGTGCATCAGAAATCAGGCTTATCCTGAAGTGTCTGAAATTACTTTCTCAGGTCTTACTCATATTAGAAAAGGTAACACAAATAATAAATATAACAAAGCTGTAATTTAGGTCGTGTAGCCTGAAGTGAAACGTAAAGACTTACAATTAGATGCCAGGGAAAGGGTAGTTCAGTGCTTATGAAATAAGCCATCAGTCTAATTCTGGTACACAATCTTAGTGAAACAGACAAATGCTTTTCATGCATATAACTGAGTGTATAAAATAGCAGTGACATTTTTGAGAAGTGGTGCTTAACTTCAGCTTATTAAACGTGAATAGGTATCAAAGAAAACCCCCAAAACAAAAAAAATAATCAAAGCTCACATCCTTTTCCCCTTAACCTTCTCACTCTGCTTTTCTCTTAGTTCGCTAACTAGTTAGTTTACAACCATCCATATAAACAGATTTTAAGCAGCACAATAAATACATGCTAGCTGTTAAAAATTGTCATTTCTTATAAGCTAAGTGATAACTATGTTGTACTGTATGGTTTTGTTCAAAAGTTATATATTAATCAATGCAACAGACCCTCTGCCATCACATTCTATTAATAAGGCATGAGTGACTCTCTTTAGTGTTCTCTGGGAATAAGTGAAACATAAAAAATATTTTTAGAAGAACATTCATTTAAATGCAAAAATGAAAGTGAAAACATTTACCTCCAATTCATGGCTGCTAACTCATTTATATATTCAGCGCAGTACACTAAGCCCACTGTACAACAAAAGAAAAATGTCAGATTCAGTATTTCTTTAAAAATAAACTGCCATCAGTTCTGCCATGTATACTAAAGATGTATACATATCAGACATTAGAATTCCTTGATCCTCAGAAGATCAAATTACACATTTAATACTGAACTGTCAAAACCAATTCTGATTTAATGTCCCATATAGTTACCAAGAAGTATAAAGTGATCACAAAACATACCCACTATATTACAAACAAACATAAAATCCTGCTCATCTGAGCTTACAGAAAGAGTTCAGCATACAAATCAATTAAAAAAAAAAAAAAATCAGTATTTTTTCCAACAATCTTCTTAGTGACTGCTTCTAAGTTATGTTTGTAGAATGGAATGCCAGCACTCACCCAAACTGGCATGAAATTAAGTTACCGTTTTAGATGTTATGGTGTCACACTGCTGTATCTAACACTACTATTGGGAGTTAGGGTACTAATTATATATAAGCATTTTGGTAAAATGCAAACTTTGTTTGAACAGGTGCATAGCAGAGCAGTCTGCTGCAACCAGGTGAAAGCTATCATATTCTTACTCAACAATTACATGCAATATGAAGCCATCAAGACAGTAAGAAAATTCAGTGCAATCATATGTTTAACAGAAAAGCAATTTAACTACAAAATTTTGTTTGTCCTCGTATCATTTTCCACAAGAAACAAAGCAAATAAACCAGATTCAGTGGCTGAAGATGACCTGAAAAAGGCAATTAAATAACTAGTCTGGTGATATGAAGGAGTGCGATCTTGTTTTGCCATCATCTGGCTCATGTCTGCTTGCTACTGCACAGTATAAATATACCTATAGCTGCTCAGCCGCCAAGGCAAACCAATGTGATAATTTCATAATTTCTTCAGTTACTTCTGACTATCTACAATACAAAGTTATTTATATTACAGACATATCAAAAGTGATTCAGTTTTTCAGGTACAAACAAGGCTTAGACTCAATATGGATATTTTTATGCACTCTTGTTAACAGCAAGTTTACATCATACCTGGGTTAGAAAGCCAGCAATGATCAGTTCCACTGCATTTTCCAATGACCTTGGCATTCAAACTACTGTTAGTGACACTGGAGATACTTTAGATAAGGAGTCTAAAGTAAATAGACATTCAGAATTTCCAATGACATGCTAATATTAATTTAAGAAAGAAACACCTGTATTCTTATAGGGAACTTACAGGCCTAATGTGTGATAAACAGGACATTGTTATTTTGCCCTCTGTAGATCATTTTAAACTCTGCAGCTACAAGTGGCCGTATGGAAATTACTAAGATTTCTAGATTCCTTTTTGGGGGTACTTAATTCTATTGGAACCTCAGTGTCAGCTAAGTTAAGTTACTTCCAGTTTTGAGGAATATGTAATTCCTCTCCCAACTTGAGTAGTTCACTAAATGGTATTTCAAAATAAGTCAACATAGTCTTCAAGTGGCTTTTTGACTGCAAATCTCTTTAATTTGCTCATTCTTCCTCCACTATCCTGCATGCATGAGAGAAGTGAGGTACAGTGTAAAAAAAACCCCAACTCACCAGAAAAATCCAACCCCTAGCTAGAACTAAGGTACTGCTCATAATACATGGATCTAACCCAAATCCATGCCATCTTAATTAAACCAAATACCCTCTGCAAAGCTACTACAACTCTGGCCAGCCAGCCATAAAACCACAGCTATGGCTAGGCATGGCCACTGTGATTCTCAGGCTGAAGTCTGATAAACCCTGAGGTAACACAACCTGTTACTGCAATGTACCAAACCAGTCTCGCTCTTCTTCGTGCCACCATCACAGCGATGATGAACCTGCTGCAGAAACGAATCCAGCTGAAAGCTGACTGTGTTTACTGAACTGCAGCATTAGAATAAGGCAGAGCAGAAAGCAACGGCTGGCGCTCAGTGTATTTCTTCTCTCCTCCAGCACAGGAACAATTCCTTGGGAAGCTGTGATACACACAGCATTCACCATGCGGAAACCTTACTTATCCCAGATCCTCACTAAGGCCAGAGTTTTAAGTCACTTCTTCACACAGTCTGGGAAACCAACTAAATATATATGTATAGGTCATAACAGCTTCTATAACAATTTATCATATATAGACACACGCACTACTACAAGAGAAATACTAATTTGCATGCACTTTATCCGCTGCAAAGTACAGAACCGTGCGCTGTGCACGTACATGAACAAAACTGTTATCACTAAGAGACCAAAGGAAGCTATGTGAGAGTACGAGCAGCCTAAACAACGCACATGCCCTTCACCACCCGCACGCGAGCTCACGGAAGCGTGGCTGCACTACTCACCCATGCAGAGGAAGTGCCCTATTTGCACCCGGTAGTGCTGGAAAGAGATGCACGTCAGGAGGAAGCACAGGACGTGGAAGAAAAACCCCCCAGCCCCAGCAGCCACGGCTCGGACCAGTCCGTCTTCTACGGACAAAATGAAAAGAGGTTAAGCTATGGCAGAAGTGCCACCAGGCACCTAGAGCGAGCAGCTTTCCTCCTCCCGCACCGAAACGGCAACCGATTTCAGTCACGGATTGCACCCACCAGCCCTCCCCGTGCCAAGCTGGGGAAGGAGCCAGCCCCGCGCGTTCCCTCTCCACCT